TCCAGCTAATTTCTTTCTATTTTTAGTAGAGATGGGGTCTTGCTCTTGCTCAGGCTGGTCTCGAACTCCTGACCTCAAGCGATCCTCCCACCTCAGCCTCCCAGAGTGCTAGGATTACAGACATGAGCCACAGCGCCCGGCCTGCATTAGGATTTTGATAGTGAAAACGACATGGTCCTTACCATTATAAAAATATATAAATTTAGCATTTAATGTGTTTTCCATGGGCCTGTGGTTATTGATCTCTTTGGGCCAGCACAGCAGGGTCAGCTGTCCTGTTTGAATGAGCGAGGAATGCTTCTCCACAATCAGCAGCCCCAAACTTAGAGCATATTCAATGATTCCATCTCTTTGTCTTACTCATTTTCCTCTCTCTACTGTTTTGTTTTTTTTTTTTTGGCGGGGAGAGACAGAGGCATCATAGCTCACAGCAACCTGAAACTCCTGGGCTCACACAATCCTCCTGCTTCAGCCTCCCAAGTAGCTGGGATTACAGGCACATGCCACCACGCCTGGCTAATTTTTTCTATTTTTAGTAGAGACAGGGTCTCACTTTTGCCCAGGCTGGTCTCGAACTCTCGAGCTCAAGTAATCCTCCCACCTTGGCCTCCCAGAGTGCTAGGATTACAGGCGTGAGCCACCGAGCCTAGCCGCACAACCTTAGATTTCTGGACTCAAGCCATCCTCCTGCCTTAGCCTTCCGAGTAGCTGGAACTACAGGCGCACACCACCACACCCGGCTAATTTTTTTTTATTTTTTTTATTTTTTATAGAGACGAGATCTTGCTCCTCTTGTTCAGGCTGGTCTCAAACTCCTGAGCTCAAGCGATCTTCCCGCCTTGGCCTCCCAGTGTGCTAGGATTATAGGCATGAGCCACCGCACCGCCCCACCACTGTTTTACTTGTCACTCCTCTACCATCAGGACCGTGTTCATTACTCCTGGTGGAATTGAAATTTCAAGAAGACCTTTTTTCCTAAAGCTTGGGAGTAGGAGTGGGTAGTTGCTATTGAAATAAAGCTAGCTAAATCTGGACAGGTGCAGGCTAATTCTAGTTTCCTCCCCATCTCCAACTATGCAGCCCTAGGGTAGTGTGGAAGGGAATGCCATTTCTTCTGTTAATACCTGCCCTCTACTTTTGTCTCCTGGGTCTAGGTGTCAACATTGCATACTTGAATACTGGCATCGGAGGACACAAAGCCCCCAGTTTGGCAGATCGACAGCGTGAATACCTTTTAGACATGATCCCTCCCCGGTCTATATCGCAGTCCATCAGTGGACAGAAATAACGCCTGTTCCACTTGTACTGCCCCAACCTTGAATCCTTTACCCCTTTCCTCTCCCATTCCCCCAACTTCCGTCGCATGCAGTGCCTGTACTGGTGCCTACCATACACGGAAAGAAAAACAGAAGACAAAAAAAATAGAAATCAAGAAAACACACGCCCTGCCCCACCAAGTCCCCTTTATTTCACGCTGCTGCGATCTGTTCTTCTGCCGCTCTGTCTTCTCTCTTTGATTTTAACAGTTAGGTGGATCTTTACCTCTGATAGAGGTGGGAATGAGGTCCTGGGGAGAATCTAAGCCCTCCAACATGTGTTTCTAAAGTTTGTTTTATTCTATAATTATTATCATTTTTAATCGTGTTATGTGTCCTCCCTTTGTTCAGTGGACGGTTAAACCTTCCCCCTGCCCCAATCTTTTTTTTTCTTTCTTCCTTCCTTCCTTCCTTCCCCACCCCCCCCATAAACACAGATGATGTATTCAGTTCAATGACAGGACCATTGCAGATTGTAGTAGGGTCCCCAGCTGCCAAGTAGAACATGACTGGGAGTGTTAGGGGCAGAAGTTTTGAATGCACTTAAGAGGGGTGGGGTGGGGAGGGGAATGGGTAGCATCAAACAGGAGGAATAGCACCCCACCTGTGAGTGTTTTGGGGCTGGACAGTTTGGGAGGCAGTATTTAGTATTGAAGTTGGGCTCTAAGAATGAGGGGAAAGAGCCTGAAGAGAAAAGCTTTAAAACTCAACCACCCTGGAATTTACCCATGGAGGAAGGCAAGAAAAGAGGTATGATGATGGGTGTAATGGTGAGCCAGGGAGGACTGAGACCAGATCCTGCCCTCTGGATGCTGGGGGCAATAAGATTGGTCTCCTGACTCCAGTGGGGACACAGAAGTCTCTTCCAGGCCAAGTAGCCCAAAATTATTTCATCTTATTTTCTTTGTAAAATTCTTCCCAACCCTTACCCCCCCTTTAAAAATTCTAATCTATCCCCTCTAATCAAAGCCCCATCTATATGTGGAGAAATGGCTGTTCCCACGCTGTTTGCTAGGTACCCTAAAAGTTGGCTTGGGCATGAAGTCAAGTGACAAAAGGACGAAATAGAAGAAGGAAGAAGGATTTCTCTCCCAACATTGAGATTCTCACATTTGTTTATCCCTTCATCCTCTGAGTGCCAGGAATTAAGGTTAATCAGGTTGCAGTCCTGCCCCAATGCTACTGCACTAACTGCAGAACCAGCTGCTCAAAGCCAGACAACTATGTCAGAACCAACCTAGGACCTCTGCTATACAAGTAGTTGTCATTTTTTTCTCCCAGAATTCTATTAATTTTGCCTTTTTGGTTTTTTGGTTTTTTGGTTTTTTTTTTTAAGCGCTACTAATGTAGAGAATGAATTGAATTGTGCAATGTTGCTGTTCTGGGGATTGGGGAGATTAGCATCCCATTTGCCCACACTGTGGGGGAAGAAAAAGGGGACCAGGCTGTTTTTGAGGTAAGGGAAACCCCTTAAAGGTATGGGTTTCTGCTCTTCTCATAGTATATACCCACCTGCCTCTCCAGCTCTAGAAGCTGCCAGAATGCACAGGCGGGATATTCTCAACAGAGAGGTATGAGGAGGATTTTAGTATTTTGCCCTTGAAAGCCACCTGAGGAAGTTCCCCCACTTTTATTTTTTAAAATTAAATAATTTTTTTAAAGAAGGCACTTTTAAAATTAACACACAAACTGCACATCTTCCCCATAAAATATGGGGGTGAGGTGGGAGAAGGAGCTAAAATCAGGCTCAGTTCCCCCACTCTGACCTCTATTCCCTGTACCCCAGTGCCACTGTGGGTGATTATACTGGCCCTACGGGCCTTCCTGGCTTTTTTTTCTTTCCTCCCTTGCCCCAAATTCATTGAGCACTTAATGAAGGAGCAGAGATGCAGCCAGTGTCTGGGCTCCCCCAGTGGTGAAATGATCTGGAAGCTAGATGCTAGTAACAGGTAGTGATCGGGTCTTTTCGAGTATTTTTCTGGGGAATGTGGTACCCCTGACTGTAAGTGGTGGGAGAGGGAGGGGGCGGTTAATAGAACTGGGTCTGGGATTATTTTAAAATTATATATATATATATATATATATATAAAGATATATTCTTACATCTTTTCTTTGCCCACTGTGCTTTGAAAGCACTGGATAAATTGTTTGGTTTTGCTTTTCTCTCTTCCATGAAATTGGAAGCTTTTTTTTTAATGTTTTCCCTACAAGTCATCTTGCCTTGTGGCATGTCTGTCTAGCCTCTCTTCCCCACCCCCTCATGATGAAGTGCCATTTCTGTTACGTCTGTCTCTCTCTCCCCCCGCCAGCTCAGAGGTGCCCAGAGGTACCAGGTGCCCAAGTGTGTCAGTTGAGATTAAAAGTAAGGAACAGAGAATGTGCAATACCGTCTGGCTGGGGGCTGTCCCTGCCCTGCCCTGAGCTGAGTCCCTTCCCTGGGAGCCAGGCCACCGTTGAATGGGGTTTGGAAGTAAGCTATGAGGAGATGGGGAATGATGGGGAAGGAAAGCCCATAGTCCAGGCCATAGGGGAGAGGGTAGAATTTTCTGTTTTTATCCCCTCAGGGTCAGTTACATAAAAGCTGCTTGTTGGCTAGTATAGCTCTGTGACCCTTTTTCAATCGCTGAGGTTTGATTTCTTACCCTCTCTTCTCCCCATTTTCATACCTTTCCTAAGGATTAGTGATGGAGGTGAGGTCTCCCTAATCATGGTAAAGTATTAGCCTTCCACCTCCTCCCTTCGCTCCCTCTCCCCCGTCCTTCTGTCTTCCTCTATTCTCTACCTTTTCATCACTGATTGCCTTGTGTCCCTCCAAGTCTATTGTTAACTTTCCATCCCCAGGCCTTGGGCTCTGTAGACACTAAACTTTATGCCCTAAGAATTGGAGGAAAGACCCTCTGTTTGGAGAGTTATCCTTTACCACTGGGGCTCTGAAGTTCAAAGTATTAATAGAGTGAGGATCCCACCAGTTCTGCTTGGCTCCAGCCATCCCCAGAGGCATTAAAAGTAATAGTTTATGGACAGTGTCTTCTGAGAAGCCTGAAAACGGGGGTGGATTCGTGGTAAGGCTTGGGTAAAACTGGAGGACAGAGGTTCTTATTTGTCAATTTTATTTTGTCATTTGACCACAGCATCTGGACTCCCTTCATCCCTGGAATAAGTATTTTCCCCACATTTTTGGATATATGTATGGTAGACAGTTTTTTTTTTTTTAAGACACAGATAAATGTTTTCCTGCTTTGGTTACCTTTCCTTTCCCCTTTAAAAGGAATTAGCTATAGAACTGCTTTGTAAAGATGCTTCTTGATATTTTACTTTTGTTCCTTTTCCCCAACCATTCCCTTTTCTCCCACTCCTTCAGAAGGTATAACCCTTCTCTCCACACCCTCTACCCCCACCCCGGTCCTAGGCTCCCTTCCCTTCCATCAAGACCTTCATTAGCTTATGATATTTGCTGCCGAGATGTTATAACAAGGACTCATTCGTGTATATAAGCTATTTCTTGATCCATTTAAAAGGAATTGTACATTGTGTAGAAAAAAAAAAAAAGCCCTGAAAAAGAGAAAAAAAAGCCCTAGCCATGGATATTGTGAAACTGTGTTATGTCATTTTGTAATGTGCCCGTTTGTGTATGATCCGTGCAAAAGGGTTTCTGGGGAAGGGGTGGGGGTAGGGAGGCAGGGATGTGGAGGGTGGGTAGGGGAGTGGGCCGGGCCCAGCACACTGAGACTGGCAGCTGCTCCAACCCCATCCCTCCTTAGAGATGCCACCTCCCCCACCACCCACCCCTAATTTGTGCCTTGCCTCCCCACCCTGGAGTAGTCCCTCCGGGTCACCAGCACTGCCTTGGCAGAGCCCACTCCCTACCCTAACCTGCCCACCCTCCCTACCCCCCAGCATTAGGTTGATACTGTGGGGAAGTGCTGGGGGGTGGGAGGTAGCCGAGGAATGGGGCAGTTCCTGGGGGCATCGAAACCAAGTATTATTATGAATTGTAATTGTATTTGCACTGTTTTTTTCCCTCTGATTGCATTAGCATATATACAATATACCTATATAACAAAATTCAGTGTCAAGCTTTCTTATGCAAGGGATTTCCCCCACCCTACCATCTCCCCCCCCAAAAAAGAAAGAACCTAGTCTCATGGGCCTTTGAGGGTGGATTGTAGGGGATAATAGAAAGGATTTTAATAAGTCATCCTAAGGGGGTTTCACCTAGTGGGAGCCACAACCATCTGCACAGTTTTAGGCTGCATGAACTGAGGTGAGGCTGGGCTCCTGTGAACGCTATGGCTCCTGGTCCCGGACTCTGGAGAGTAGAAAACCACCAACACAAAGCGGGTGGAGGGGGCTGAAGTCTGGAGACCTGGGGTCTCCTGCTAATTTGCTATGTGACCTTTGGTGGAGTTAGTTTTCTTGGTCTCAGTTTTCTTACCTGTGAAGTGAGCGGGGAAATCATCTGGCCACCAAATTTAAAATTCTATGCTGCTTTCCCCACCTGCCAAAAACAAAAAATATCTTGAAGTGAGGGAAGTGTTGAGCTGAAAAACCAGGGAGGAAATGAAGGTGACTAGTTTGAAGTGCTTATATATGTGACAATGCCCTTGGAGAGCTGCTAGACCCCTACTGTTGTCGTTGATGTGGTAGAGACAGCAGAGTGATGTCCAGGACATCAGTTGAGACCAGTGACATCTTTGTCTTTATGTCTCTAGTCATCTGAGGGCAGGGACCAGGACCCAAGCCCCACCTCACAACAAACAACAGAGCCCTTAAAGGTGGTTGACCAATGGATGCCCCAGGTTGGTGCTCTACTTACTTACTCCCTTTGTGAGCTACATGATGTGGAACTTCCCATCTTCTTGGAGACAAAATAGGAGAGCTCAGATACAGCCTGCATCTTGTCTCCTTTCCACAGATAATCTGAACCCCCTAAAGGCAGCTGTTTCAGTCTGCCTCCTTCAGGGGCCCAATTTCCCCCCAGCCTGGGCTGAGCACTCCCACTCTCTTAAGATTCTTGGCTGGTAAGGCCTGGAGAGGATACAGGATGATGGGTGAGGCCTTGGTGAAGGTGGAAGGATAGATTGGGGTTGGGGGGTGGGAGCAGGGAGGTAGGATGGGGAATGGCCTTCCCTGAGTAGGGTGGGTG